TTTATGGATGAGATTACCATTTAAATCTGTGGACTTTGAGTAAAGCACTTTCCATAGATGGATGAGTTTTATCCAGTCAGCTGAAAGCCTTATTAGAATGAAGATTGACCTTCCAGGGCAAGAAGGAATTCTGGCAGCAGACTGCCTGTAGACTCAATTTGCAATTCTTCCCTTCGTCTCCAGTCTGTTGGCCTCCTCCATTAGATCTGGGGTTTGCCAAGCCTCCACAATCAGGTGAACCAATTCCTTAAAATAAATCTCTCTATTTACATATATCCTGTTGCTTCTGTTTCTCCGAACAACCCTGGCCCATTATGTAATCATACCATTTCCATAATGCCTGGCATATGAGAGGAACTTAAAATTATTGAATGAATTGATTAATGAATAAAAATATATACCTGGAATTTTATTTGAAAAAAAAATAGCCCAATATTGAATCTTGAGGTGATAAAGAATGGTTCTTGACACCTTTGAATCCAAAAATTGAAACTAAGGTGCAACCTTCCTTGCACATTGTTAAACTTGGCTTCAAAAAGATGTACTAGTTTAGGGAACAAAAGGTCTGCATTCTAGTCTTGGCATTGCTTATCATTAGCTTTGTGACCCTTGATCTCTCTAGGTCTCCAGTTGTTTCTTCAACGGTAAAATGACAGATGTGAGTAAGTTGATTTTTCAAGTCCCTTCGGTTGTAAAATGTCTTAATTCTGTAATTTCCTCTTTTTTTTTTTTTAAAGATTTTATTTATTTATTTGACAGAGAGAGACATAGTGAGACAGGGAACACAAGCAGGGGGAGTGGGAGAGGGAGAAGCAGGCTTCCCGCGGAGCAGGGAGCCCGATGTGGGGCTCGATCCCAGGACCCTGGATCATGACCTGAGCCGAAGGCAGACGCTTAACGACTGAGCCACCCAGGCGCCCCTGTAATTTCCTCTTATGGACCCTGCTACTGTGGTTATTCTGAGTGTATCACTAAATCCCATGGACTCCACTAACCAGCTGCCAATGCAGTGATATCGTAGGGCACATCAAGTCCTAAGAGTTACATGGTTAAGGGAGAAATAAGAGTGCTGTCACTGAACGCTACAGTGTTTCCTCTCCCCAGTAGGCACTGCAGAGAAAACTTGGAGACAGCAGAAGTTTACTACATTTACAATTGACAGATGAATGTTAAAATCCCTCTCACATTTTTCTTTGAGAGTAAAGGAAAGAAGGCCGCATCACTAAATTGTATCATGAATAAAAGTTCTCTCATTTACATTCATTGCCTTGCCTGCCCAGAAACTTGGTTATTTGGCAGCAACTTAATGTCTGGAGAAAGCTATAGGTTATTTTGCAACCCACATTTAATAGTATTGTCTAACAAATCTGATTTAATCTTTTCATTTTGTTGTCAATTTGAGAGTACAACACCAGCTCTAAACGATAAAATTTTAATGACCTGAACAATACTTTATGTTTAATCTCCAAACATATTTCTTTTATAGAAAATTCTGTGAATTTTCTGTCATATACATTGAATGGAGACATTCATCTGAGCTGAAAAAGAAAAGATCATTGCAATTGTGAATCTTGTCAAAGGACAAATGAAAATGTGTTCATTTTGGAGAAGGCATAAGTTACAAAGTGCCTGCTTTTATTAAAAATCACGGTAAAAAAATTAAATATCAGCAAGATCAACATTAATTGGAATCTCAGGGTTTTTTCTCCCCCTAAAATAAAGTTGCTTTTTTGTTGTTGAAAACTCAATACTTGATATCGGAAGATAGAGACAAAAGAACATTTCAAATAATGAGAATCCCACCCACCCAACAATAGCTATGCTTAATGCATTGGTGTTTATTTTTTCGTAAGGTTTTTTATATACACCTGCCCCCCTTCCCAACTCACAAACACAAATCTGCACATAAACCAGATGTCTTCAAGACTGACTAGTCTGGAGGTGCCTGGGTGGCTCAGTCATTAAGTGTCTGCCTTTGGCTCACATCATAGTCCCAGGGTCCTGGGATGGAGCCCTGCATCAGACTCCCTGCTCCGCGGGAAACCTGCTTCTCCCTCTCCCACTCCCCCTGTTTGTGTTCCCTCTCAAGCTGTATCTCTCTCTGTCAAATAAATAAAATCTTAAAAAAAAAAAAAAAAGACTGACTAGTCTGTGACATCAAACTGAGGCCATGTCTCCTCTAATATTAAAATTATGAACTTCCAATCCTCCACATGACCATAGTTATAGAACCCTTGTCTTTCCTTGCATCTTAATGTTTTATGGGATTGGCCAAGAATTCCAATGTTTTTGACTCAAGCTGGAGGAATCCTCTCATGCATCTCACCTTGATGCAGAACTCTGGCCAGCCCCTGGAATGCCCCATTTGCCTCCCTGTACCTACTTCACACAACGTTTCCTTGGTTTGAAGGAGAAGGAGGCACCTTCCCTGGGTGTTAAGTTCAGTTATGGACATGCCTCTCCCAACCTGATAAGCCCCAGAGAATTTTTTTTTTTTTTTCTTCTCAAGGTACACTTCTAGGTACTCAAGTGACTGGATCAGGCGTTAGCTTTACACTATTGGCAAAACCAAGTCTCTTCTGATGGCATAGGTCAAGTGTTGAGAGAAGACCCTAAGTCCAGACCTGCAGACTGTAGCTTCCTAGGTTTTTTTTTTCCCAGATTCCAGTTGTTCTTTCTTCCATTCAGGTCTCAGCCAGGGCGCCCCCTGCTTCAAAAGAGCAGATATTTGAATCACAAAATGAACTGAATTTTAACATAGATCCTTTTTCTTCTAGAAATTATCTTGACTCCTATGTAAATTTGTGGATATCATTGAATACCTGGGGGAAGGGGCTCATCTGCTTCACCAGTCAAGAGCATCTCAGAGATGGGCCTTGCCTTGCCAAATATACCTAATTATCATTTTTTCCTCTGAACATTAGCTAGGTACTGGTCTTGCAGAAATGTTTCTGCTAGGGAAGATGGGTAGCATAATGGTTACATAAACAACCACTGGATCCAGATAGCTCACATTTAAAGCTCTGCTCTATCATTTGCTGGCTGATGACCTTGTGAAATTTACCCAACAGCTGTCCCCATCAGTAAAACAGGGCTGATGACAATTGTACCTTTCTCATATGTAGTTATGGGGACTAAATGTATGAATACTGTTTAACATTGTTCCTGGTTCATAGTGAGGGCTCAGTTAATATTAGCCATTACTGCTTCAGTGATTGTAATAATTAAAAGGGCTTCCAAAAGTTATTCCATCCAGAACAATCAAAAGAGAAGTATCATTACTGAAGCTAAAAAATTGATAGTAAATTTTAAATATCACTTTTCCATTATATAAAAAAATAAAGTCTTAATCCCTTGGTGCCCTGTTTTGCACCATTTAATTTTAAATGTTGTTTTTTTAAGCCCATACATTTTTGTAGTTTTTCTATAACTCCCCACAATATATTGTGAAACTCTTCTCCTTGTCAAAAGCTATACTTCTATAATATTTTTAAATTTATTATCCTATTTATAGAACTATATTTTATCAATCACTTCTTGTTTTCTTGTTTCCAGTGTTATAAATGTTAATGAAAGAAGGTCTCATGAGTAGGTGGTCACATGGCTTCTTAATTATTTTTTTGAGACAAATACCAGAAAAGAAATTTTAAAGCTTTTAAAATATACTGCTAAATTGCCTCCAGACACTTACTAGTTTATACCAGTCAGTGGCCCTGCCCCTTCACCAATAGAGAGCACTTAAAAACTAAATGTTTAATAATTTGATAGAAAAAGCATGTTGCCATATGTGTATTTCTTTACTAATAGGTTGAATGGTTTTTGTAATAGACTTTTTTTTAAAGATTTATTTTAGAGAGAGAGGAAGAGCGTGGCAGGGGGGCAAGGAGGCGGGGATAAGGAGACGGAAAGGGAGAGACTCTCCAGCAGTCTCTGCTGAGTGCAGAGCCTTAGGTGGGGCTCGATCCCATGACTCTGAAAGCATGACTTGAGCTGAAACCAAGAGTCAGACACCCAACAAACTGAGCTACCCAGGCCCCCCTAGACTTTATTTTTTAGAGCAGTTTTAGGTTCACAGTGAAATTGAGAGGAAGAAATTTCCCATATATCCCAGCCCCCACATATACATAATGTCTGTCACTATCAACATCCCCCACTAGAGTGGGTACATTTGTCCCAATGATGAACATACACTGACACATCATTATCACTCAGAGTTCATAGTTTATATTAGAGTTCACTGTTGGTGTCACGGTAGGTTTTTTTTTTTTCTTTTTTAAAGATTTTATTTATTTATTTGACAGAGAAAGACACAGCGAGAGAGGGAACACAAACGGGGAGTGGGAGAGGGAGAAGCAGACTCCCTGCCGAGCAGGGAGCCCGATGCGGGGCTCGATCCCGGGACTCCAGGATCATGACCTGAGCCGAAGGCAGTCGCTTAACCGACTGAGCCACCCAGGCGCCCCTCACGGTAGGTTTTTAATCTATTCTTTTTGAGTTAGTTATGTTCCTAGCCTATTTTTCCTTTTTTTGCTTTTTTAAAAAGATTTTTTAATTTATTCATTAGAGAGAGAGAGCACGAGAAGGGGGGAGGGTCAGAGGGAGAAGCAGGCTCCCCGCCGAGCAGGGAGCCCGATGCGGGACTCGATCCCGGGACTCCAGGATCATGACCTGAGCCGAAGGCAGTCGCTTAACCGACTGAGCCACCCAGGCGCCCCTCACGGTAGGTTTTTAATCTATTCTTTTTGAGTTAGTTATGTTCCTAGCCTATTTTTCCTTTTTTTGCTTTTTTAAAAAGATTTTTTAATTTATTCATTAGAGAGAGAGAGCACGAGAAGGGGGGAGGGTCAGAGGGAGAAGCAGGCTCCCCGCTGAGCTAGGAGCCCGACGCGGGACTCGATCCCGGGACTCCAGGATCATGACCTGAGCCGAAGGCAGTCGCTTAACCGACTGAGCCACCCAGGCGCCCTTTCCTTTCATTGCTTTAAAAGAGCTTTTTATATAGCTTCGCGCAGCGGCAGTATCGTAGCCAATGAGGTTTATCCGAGGCGTGATTATTGCTAATTGAAAAGAGCTTTTTATATATATGTAGGAGAGTCACAAGTTTCCTTAGTGCTATCAGGAAAGAAGGAAATTTAGCTTATTAATTTTCTATAACTAGTCCAGTGTTTCCCATGAGCCCTCACTCTTGGGGAAGTGGACTGGTGAAAGTTGTGGAGAAGCAGAACTTAAATTTATCAACGAATGTATCTCAGGTCTAACTTAAACATTCGTTCTTTAGATTAATCTTAAGTACATGCTCAGACTTTAAGGTATACTTTCCTTCTCCTTGCTCTTTCACCAAGGCGATACCTGATACGTTTGTGTATTGGCAGGGATAGGTGTTTATGTGATCCCATAGGGTACGGGGGTAGTCTGACAAAGGGTACAAAGGTATTTGTGTAATCATCTGTGACGTTTATTATCTATCTAGTTACTTGACTCTCTGATGGAATCTTCTGTTGACGCTGAAGCTGGTCTCTTGCCTTGGTCAGTGTCTGGTGACCCCCTTGGCTGCCTCAGCTGGAGCCTTGTCACATTCCATCTAGCTCTGGCTTAATTTCTCCACTCTTCTGCCTTGGAAACATTTCTATCTTCAGCAAGAGCCAAAGGAAGCCTGGTACTATACACTCAGGCTCTTTTTCTTCCCAACCACTTCAGGAGGCCATTTTTGTCTTTTTCAGACTTTCAAGTTGGGAGTGGGGGACAAACCTTTCCTGCTTATGGCTTTTCTCTTTATCTTTCTAAAACCTCACTCCTGTCTGGGATTTTGGTTCAGGAGAGAAGAGTTAGGATACTTTTATCTGATTATTTACTTCCCCTACTTTTTTCTTTTCCACACTCAGGTAGGGTAGAATTGGCAGGTTTTCTTTCACTTCCTGTCTAGCTGGAACTTTCTTTGGAACTCCCCTCATATTCTGTTCCTGGAGGTGTTTTAATCATGGAAGGAGCCCTTTGCGCTGAATCCGCTAGTTTTGGCAATTAGAAGTGGAAACCTTGAGGCAACTACAAACCAGAGCCTATACAGGGCAAAATGCATTATTTTGATATTCCCCAGATACTATTCATTTTATAAATATATTTGTACATATAGAATCAGATGTTCAGATCAGATAGAATTGAGGTCTCTCATGTAGGTTACAAATGTTTATGCCCCATTTTTTCCTTTTCATAAAAAAGTTATGTTTCTTATAGTAGAGAAGTTCTACAGTTTCATGCAGTCAATCTACCAATTGCATGTTCTATGGTTTCTACATTTTGTAAAACTTAGAAAGCATTTTCCCTCATCAAGGAAAAATTATGTTCACATTTATTTCCTTCAAATATTTTTTGGCTCAATTTTTTTTTTTTTACTTTACCTGGAGGCATTTGGTATAAAGTGTAGTATAGCCATATATATTATATACATGATAGCAATCTAAATCTAAATATATATATTTATTTATAAATACATATATGTAAATACATATATTTGTAGATATACATATCTACACATGTATATATATTTAATAATCAACTCCAGCTCATTATATTTATTGAACAGTCCTTTTTTCTTACTAGTTTGAAGTATACTAAATTCTTATTTGCTTGTCTTTGTTTCTACCCTGTTCCATTAATATACCTGTGTGTTCCTTTCCTATTTCAACAGTATATTTTTAAAGCTAGCTTTGCAATATTTGAATATCTTTGTTCGCGCTCTTTCCCTCATTGTTTTCATTTTTCTGCATTTTCTTGGATTTTTCATGAATTTCATTCAAGAGATTTCTAGAATAATATTTACTTTACCCCAAAATTGATTGTCATTCTATTTGGAGTACATTAAATTTTAAGATCAAATTACCTTAAAAAAATACAAAATCTATTTTTTTGATAGAGCTTGTTAACACTCATTAATTCAGGGCATGGCAATAATTACCTGAATCTCTACCCTTCCCATCATCGAAAGTACAATTTAAAAATTGCCAGGTAGACTAAGGTGTCAAGGTTTATCTAGGCAACAAAACCCAAGAAAATATTTATGACTTAAATATTTGGGAATTGGACAAAAAATTGTTTTGCCTTATATTGTCTAGATAAATAATGTAAATTTATATATGTACATGTATGAATTCCAAGATTCCCTTCCTTCTGATTTCAGAAAGTGTTAGTGGTTTTCCGTTATTATACCTATCAAGTTCCAACACTTTACACTTTCATCTGTTTTAACAATTTCAATAACTGAACAAATAGGGTATAGAGGTTGACTATCAATTTTACCCTTGCTTTTGCTTTTTCCTCTTTTTTCTTATGTTTTAATTATATCAAATTTTTATGTGACCTCTAAATTATAGTTTTCTTTCAGTCAATATTATCCTTTCAGGCCTAAATTTATGAAAATAACCCCACATTAATCAATAGACTCATTTTCTCCTGTGAGTATGGATGGATAGATGGTTGTATTCCCTTTGAACTAAATCTTTTCTCTCAATAACTATCTATGGTATGTACCTTGACAATGAAGATTGTGTTTATTGGAGGGACTTTAGGGTGTTGGATTTTGCACAGTCTCCTGTAATGACCTTCTGCACTGTGAAGAGTCAAGGTCAACTCATTGGCTACTTTGCCACTCTCATCCTTTGTGCCTTCCAAATACTTAGGTTTGAGTGAATTGAGAGGGACAAGGAGGGGCTGATGATTTGGGTGATGTGTGGAAAGTCATCTGTAAGAATTGTAGAAGTTTATAATCATTCATCTTAGAGCTCACAAGCAAAGTAAAGGATCTAGCCACTTGACACTTTTACCCCTTCAATGCTCTAAACATTTCTCTTGGCTCAGCATTGGGAAATAAAGGAGCAGACCAGCCAAGCTAGAAGGGGGAAAAATAATGAATGCGAAGGGATAACTTGACCTGAAGAGCATCCAGATTAGCCATTCCATCATTAGGTGCCACCAGTTGGAGGCAAGTGATTGTAAGTTTTCACTCATCTATAAAGATTTCTATGATTTTATTTTCATCTAAAATATTTTTACACTAATCCTTAGAATATTTAATTTTACAAAAAAAATAAAACATGATTTCTTCATATAAAGTTATATTCTATGCTTTTAGCACCTTAAGTTATTTTTAATGGAAGAATTATGTTATAAGTTTTAGCTCATGGCAATAAATTAGCAAAAACTGAGTTTACTTGGTATATCATAACCACCCACATTTAGCACAGGTGTTCAGCAAAAGATTTAGGAACTGTTTTGGAAGCTCTCATTAGCTGAGATAAATTGGCAGAATATCTATACTATTAAACTGTTCAAGTACATATTTTCTTTCTTGATCATTTTGTAGAGGTCTCATAAATATCCACAGCTGGCATGCTTGTCTTTCAGGAAGTTCTTAAATGTATCAGTAGCACTAAAGCCCAGTATTTTAATGGTTCTAAATGTCAGAGCAGTTGGCTGGCCATAGGACATTGAGCAAACCCAACAAAAACTCCAACCCACCAGATGAACCTCATTTCATCCCCAAGGCCCTTTTGTTTCTGAAGCAGTTCATGGGATCTGTATAGACCAGAGTGGTTTTTCCTAAGGGAACTAATTGCTTATAAGAACAATGATGAGGGGGCGCCTGGGTGGCTCAGTTGGTTAAGCGACTGCCTTCGGCTCAGGTCATGATCCTGGAGTCCCGGGATCGAGTCCCACGTTGGGCTCCCTGCTCATCACGGAGTCTGCCTCTCTCTCTGACCCTCCCCCCTCTCATGCTCTCTCTCTCTATCTCATTCTCTCTCTCAAATAAATAAATAAAATCTTAAAAAAAAAAAAAAAGAACAATGATGAGGGTAAATTTGAAGTCTACCATGACGTTTCAAGCAAGAGGAATTAAAATAGCAAAAATGCCACTGCAAAATATAAGTTATGCTGGAAGGGCTCTGGCTTCCAGGGAAAATCGTTATTTTAATCAAATAACGATGGGAAGGGTTCCACATAAAGATGTCAGATGTTACGATAGTGAGTTAACTTTCTGATTACTTGCCAGTGTGACAGTCTGAGAAGGCACAGGCTAGGAGAGGACAGAGGATGAGTTATCACATGCTGACACTCTGAAGCCACTTGGTCCCTGAATGGAAACATGAAGTTAGGATGTAGATGCAGAATGAGAGAGATGAACTACTGGAAAGGAAAATGCTTTCTTCACACTTGTGGCAAGGGAAACCCTGACCAATAGCATTTGGACTAAAGAGTTATACAGTGTTAAAAAAAAAATTATATAGTGTGAGTCAGAGAATAAAGAAGCCAATGTGAATATTTCAAACAGGGAATTTAATATTGGACACTGTTTACGTAGGTGATGTAAGGGCCAAGGAGCCCCATAGGAGATGGTGAGCAAATTCAGAGATTAACCACAGCAGGAAACCGCCAGACCCCTAGGACTGGAGGGGCGGAGGGGAGGTAGTGTTACTGGAGCCCAGAGGCTGGGACTGTGCAATAGAAGCTGAAACCACAGAATGAAGAGCTATTTGCTGGGAGATGGAATCAGAGAGGAGACTCAGTGAAGACTAATAACATCCTTGGAGGCAGAGAGAAGGGGAGAAGTACTCTGGCCTCACTCCTTAGCTGGCCCTCCAAACTTCCATCATTGCCTCCCATTGGCCAAGCCTACCTATATGCCAGAGGGCAAGGGAGCCTGGGAAATGTGTCTTCTTGTAACAAAGAGCACAGGAAGGGCACGACTCAAGCAGATCTGAGCAAAAAGAAGCACAACCAACCATCTTGCCTTACCTCATACAGAGTATTTTAAATATTGAGGGCTGCCTCCTAAGAAATTTTGGAACCGATGTTTTATGTTTTGGAACATAAGTACCAGTAAAAATGTTAATATTTCTTTCTGCTCTGTAACTGCAATAAAAAAAATACAAATGCTATTGAAATAAGAGAATTTGATGGTCATCTAAAATATTACCTTTGACTTTCTATGGGATTGTGCTTACCTACATAGAAATAAGAAAGAGTCCAAAGACAGAGAAAGGGAGATACAAATAGGACCATCATGGTGCCCCCAAATCAAGAAACCACTGTTCTCTGTGTTATTTGTTTCATTTCCCCTTTTGTAGCACCATGGCATTAAGTC